GCCGCGGTAGCCGAGTGGTATAGGTATCGGACCGTGGCGTGCCTTGTCACGAGTTCGAGCACAGTACCACTAAAGACCCGCCGTGTAGGGCAGCGATGCACGTTAAATCTGTCGAGAGCTGAAACGTCCTCCCGTTGGTGTGGTGTGGTAGTTAGGAGAGGGGGGTGCCAGCTCAGGTGTCGTCCACGTCACTTGACCATGGTTCAAAATTACGTGGTCCGTCGCCGAAAGCCCTCGTGTAGCTGAACAGTGCGACGTTAATATTCAATCAATCAATCAATCAATCGATCCCCAGGGTCTATGACGACTTGCAAGGGGTCCACATCAATGAAAAAATTAATTTGAGGGTCCATGAGGTGTAAATAGGGGTCTATGATATTGGCTCGCATTAAACCAGATCACGACTTTGATTAATTATTTTTTTTAATTAAATAGAAACGAGATTTTACTTATTTAACAGATTTACACTGCCGGCCACACAAAATGCAGCACCAAGAAGAACCAGAGATATCACAGCGAAATCTAGTTGGCAAATAACATGTTGTACAAAGATCAAACGATTAAAATTACAACCTCTTGTGACGTGTAGATGATGACAAAATTAGTAGTTAGTGTAGCCGCCATTGTTGGCTATAGCCACTGCCACATTCCTCGCCATAGAATTAAAGAGGCTTTGGATGTATCTTTGTGGGTACTTGCGGCTTCCGCATATTGTCAAAATTGATCTGGGGTAGTAGCGGGTAGTGTATCCAGAGCATGGTTTATGAAAAAAAAAAAAAAAATGGAAAATAATATAAACATTTCAATAAGGAAAGTACGCAACCCTAAACAAACCACGGAAAGAATTTAAGGGAAGTTCGAATGTTCGAAATTACTTTCAATTCAAATGCGATGATTTAGTTATGTTTCAACCTTTTATATTTGTATCTAAAAAATTCAGACGAAATTTTCGTAAATTCCTTGGGGATCGAGGTCCTATGCGCCTCCCTCCCTTGAAATTGAGTGCCCCAGTGCACAGCACCGCAAGGCCTATTGGCAACTACGTCACTGGCGGTGTTAGATAAGACTGCTTAGCAAGATTTACTTCGGCAAAAGGGAAAGTACTGATTTTTCTATTTTGTAAATCCTTTCGGATTTAAGAGGACTTGGTACCCCAAAAATGACCAACCTATCATTTTTTTAATTTTTATTTAATCTTATTCTTTGCATTATTATCTTTCGATTGATAAATCATTTGTGCAAGTCGGAAAGTCAGAAGTTGTAGAAAACTTCATTTGAAAACAAACTAGGCAATTCGGCCCCACCCCCTTTTTCGAAAAAAAAAAAAATGCTAAAAAAAGCGTTTTGATAATAAAAAAATCTATTTTATATAGAGAAATAATAACTATAAAAAAGGATTATGTAATATACGTATAAAGCAGAATATTTCCGAGGCAATACAATAATGTAATTTTTCTTCTTTAAGAAATGTGTGCATGTGTAAAATTTTTGAATTAAGGCATTTCAGATCAATAATTTCATAATTTCAATTCTTATTCCTGATATGTTTTTCATACAAATGTAATATTTCAATATTATGTGAAGAAGAAAACTAATCTTTCGCTCATAAGAGAAAAAAAAAAAATTATGGCATATGGCTTTAAATGTATGGGTTGAAAAAATACGAAAAAATGCAATTTTATTTTAAAGAAAAATATATAACTAATACCTTTAAGTGGTATTTTAAGTTTATTTTTGAGCTTATTATAATTATTTTTTCAGAATTATTGGGTTTTAGAATTAAGTGTTTTTTTTTCAGTTTGTGTTTTTCGAAACTTTAGTGCATTCAAAATGCTACTCCTTCCACAACTACTTACCAATCACTTCCATTTTTTACCTGCGTGTTATATATAAAGCATGTAAAAAAATTAAGGTTCCGTTTTACTGTAAACTGAATACTTTATATAAAAAAATTAAAATGTAAGAGATATTGGCTTTTTCGTTGATTTTTAGCATGCATATCAACATTTTATTTTTTTTTCTCAAAAACGGACTAAGTTATTCTAAAATCAATCCCTAAAGTTATTTAGAACCTCCATAAGAATATTAAAAAAAAATTTCAGGTCAAAAAACTAATATTTACAGAAGGAGTAAGATTTTAAAATTTTCCAAATTTTCTTCAAAAAATTTAAATTTTTAAAATTTTGTGAATAATATGTGAAAAATTTCATCTAGTATATCATTTTCTTGAATAGAAACATTATATATAATTTTTAAATACATAAAGAAGGAAAGTAGTTCAAAGGGTACCAAGTCTTCTTAAAAAAAAAATCATGTATCCCTGCTATTATGAGGAGATAAACTACTGCACAATTGATGTCTTTGTTAACATCTTTCGATAAGTGATTGAAAAAAACCAGTTAATAAGTTTTAAAAAAATTGCCCTCTTTTTATTTTTTGAAAAATTTTTTAGATATCGGTTACTTTATCTGAATGTTCAGCCGCATAAACTCAAAGAAAAGTAGCTATCGCGCCGTGGCTCCAAATAACTTCATAGCGATAGCAATGCCAAGGCTAAGGTCGGAAACAGATACATGATAACCATGTTGACATTGAAAATTATAAGGTTACGATTATAAAGAGATATGCTTCTCTCGATGAAAACAAGTACATCCTCTTTAACCTTGCATTTTTGAGCATGTAATCAGAGATTGATATAAGATTAAATTAAATTTCTTCTGGAAATTTAAAAATACAATGAAAATCGCTTAACACGAAACTCAAAGGACTGAAATATTTTTTCGTGTTAAACGAATTTCGTGTCAAAGGATATTGCATATATATCTATATATATATCAACAAATTAAGTTTATTAGAGTTTTTTTAATTAACATAGATAAGTATATGTGCATGTATTTAATAAAAATCCTTCAAACATTTACATAATTTTCTCTCTTTTTTTTAATTATTGTTGATAAAGTAGAGTTAGCAGTACGAAAATCTTAACAGATTTCCATTTTCGTCTTTTGTTCCTGATTAACGACCTTAAGAAACTCCATCTTCATTTTAAAGCAAAATAGTAGTTTGCTTTCCCTCTGAACTCTTTGAAATTGTGCTCATAAGAAAATTCTTCTAAAATAACAGGGAAAAAAAGAGAGAGAGAACCAAGCTCACTGATTTTTAATCACATTGCGTCACCGAATTCCAAACCCAACAGATGAGAGATGATATGTTTTTTTGTGGCATTTGTTAGGGGTGGAGGGTGAAAGTAGATTAGATAAACAAAAATGGCTTGTCACGGGTTATATATATATATTTCGAGGGTATTTCAAAGCCAAGTTAGTCTCCATTCTACGAAACATATGAAACCACCTCTCTTTTATTTCACCCTCCCCCCATTTAAATCTCTCCTGCGCGTCTGTTTTCTATATGGTGATGAACTATTTTATTTGTTTGTTTGTTACTATTTATTCATTAATTAAATTTAATTATTCTAATAAATTAGTATAGTAAAAAAGATATCACCTTCTCAGAGATTAGACCATCCCAGGAGGGATTCGAACCCTCGACCTTTGGATTAGAAGTCCAACACGCTATCTGTCACGCTACAGGGACACAATGAACAATTTTTCTTTCTATATGTGCTGTTGGACTATTATTTTTGTTTGTTACTGTTTGTTCATTTTTTAATTTAATTGTTGAATTAATATTTGAAAAAACTGTATTAACATCAAGTGTAAAAAAACGTATTTAAACAAGATATATATATATATATATATATATATATATATATATATATATATCTTGTTTAAATACGTTTTTTTACACTTGATGTTAATACAGTTTTTTCAAATATTAATTCAACAATTAAATTAAAAAATGAACAAACAGTAACAAACAAAAATAATAGTCCAACAGCACATATAGAAAGAAAAATTGTTCATTGTGTCCCTGTAGCGTGACAGATAGCGTGTTGGACTTCTAATCCAAAGGTCGAGGGTTCGAATCCCTCCTGGGATGGTCTAATCTCTGAGAAGGTGATATCTTTTTTACTATACTAATTTATTAGAATAATTAAATTTAATTAATGAATAAATAGTAACAAACAAACAAATAAAATAGTCCATCACCATATAGAAAACAGACGCGCAGGAGAGATTTAAATGGGGGGAGGGTGAAATAAAAGGGAGGTTGTTTCACATGTTTCGTAGAATGGAGGCTAACTTGGCTTTGAAATTCCCTCGAAATAACCCGTGACAAGCCATTTTTGTTTATCTAATCTACTTTCACCCTCCACCCCTAACAAATGCCGCAAAAAACATCTCATCTCTCATCAGTTGGGTTTGGAATTCGGTGATGCAATGTGATTAAAAATCAGTGAGCTTGGTTCTCTCTCTTTTTTTTTTTCTTCCTGTTTATTTTAGAAGAATTTTCTTATGAGCACAATTTCAAAGAGTTCAGAGGGAAAGCAAACTACTATTTTGCTTTAAAATGAAGATGGAGTTTCTTAAGGTCGTTAATCAGGAACAAAAGACGAAAATGGAAATCTGTTAAGATTTTCGTACTGCTAACTCTACTTTATCAACAATAATTAAAAAAAAAAGAGAGAAAATTATGTAAATGTTTGAAGGATTTTTATTAAATACATGCACATATACTTATCTATGCCAATTAAAAAAACTCTAATAAACTTAATTTGTTGATATATATATAGATATATATGCAATATCCTTTGACACGAAATTCGTTTAACACGAAAAAATATTTCAGTCCTTTGAGTTTCGTGTGTTAAGCGATTTTCATTGTACTTTTAAATCTTCAGAAGAAATTTAATTTAATCTTATATCGATCTCTGATTACATGCTCAAAAATGCAAGGTTAAAGAGGATGTACTTGTTTTCATCGGAGAAGCATATCTCTTTATAATCGTAACCTTATAATTTTCAATGTCAACATGGTTATCATGTATCTGTTTCCGACCTTAGCCTTGGCATTGCTATCGCTATGAAGTTATTTGGAATCACGGCGATAGCTACTTTTCTTTGAGTTTATGCGGCTGAACATTCAGATAAAGTAACCGATATCTGATAAAATTTTCAAAAAATAAAAAGAGGGCAATTTTTTTTAAACTTATTAACGGTTTTTTTTTCAATCACTTATCGAAAAATGTTAACAAAGACATCAATTGTGCAGTAGTTTATCTCCTCATAACACAGCAGGGATACATGATTTTTTTTAAGAAGACTTGGTACCCTTTGAACTACTTTCCTTCTTTATGTATTTAAAAATTATATTTTAACATTTTATATAATGTTTCTATTCAAGAAAATGATATACTAGATGAGAAATTTTTCACATATTATTCACACAATTTTAAAAATTTAAATTTTTTGAAGAAAATTTGGAAAATTTTAAAATCTTACTCCTTCTGTGAATATTAATTTTTTGCCCTGAAATTTTTTTGTAATATTCTTATGGATGTTCTAAAGAACTTTAGGGATTGATTTTAAAATAACTTAGTTCGTTTTTGAGGAAAAAAAAATAAAATGTTGATATGCATGCTAAAAATCAACGAAAAAGCTAATATCTCTTACATTTTAATTTTTTTTATATAAAGTATTCAGTTTACAGCAAAACGGAACCTTAATTTTATTACATGCTTTATATATAACACGCAGGTAAAAAATGGAAGTGATTGGTAAGTAGTTGTGGAAGGAGTAGCATTTTGAATGCACTAAAGTTACGAAAAACACAAACTGAAAAAAAACCACTTAATTCTAAAACCCAATAATTCTGAAAAAATAATTATATATAATAAGCTCAAATAAACTTAAAATACCACTTAAAGGTATTAGTTATATATTTTTCTTAAAAATATTTGCATTTTCGTATTTTTTCAACCCATACATTTTTATAAATGATCAATTTTAAGAAGGTATTAATTGCACAAGAAAATTCAAGAAAAATGTTAAAAAAATTTTTTTTTTCTGTCACGACCGAAAGTTTAGTTTTTTTCTTCAGATAATATTGAAGTATTACATTTATATGAAAAACATATCAGGAATAAGAACTGAAATTATGAAATTATTGATCTGAAATGCCTTAATTCAAAAATTTTACATGCACACATTTCTTAAAGAAAATTACATTATTGTATTGCCTCGGAAATATTCTGCTTTATACGTATATTACACATTCTTTTTTTATAGTTATTATTTCTCTATATATAAAATAGATTTATTTTTATCAAAACGCTTTTTTTAGCTTTTTTTTTTCTAAAAAGGGGGCGGGGCCGAATTTCCTAGTTTGTTTTCAAATGAAGTTTTCTTCAACTAACTTTCCGACTTGCACAAATGATATATCAATCGAAAGATAATAATGCAAAGAATAAGATTAAATAAAAAATTTTAAAAAAATGATAGGTCGGTCATTTTTGTGGGGTACCAAGTCCTCTTAAATTCGAAAGGATTTACAAAATAGAAAAATCAGTACTTTCCGTTTTGCCGGAGTAAATCTTGCTAAGCAGTCTTATCTAACAACAACACCAGTGGTGCAGTTGCCAATGGGCCTTGAGGTGCTGTGCACCGGGGCACTCCATCTCAAGGGGGGGGGGGCGCATAGAACCTTGATCCTCAAGGAATTTACGAAAATTTCGTCTGAATTTTAGATATAAATATAAAAGGTTGAAACATAACTACAATCATCGCATTTGAGTTGAAAGTAATTTCGAACATTCGAACTTCCCTTAAATTCTTTCCGTGGTTTGTTTAGGGTTGCGTACTTTCCTTATTGAAATGTTTATATTATTTTCCAATTTTTTTATTTTTTCATAAACACCATGCTCGGGATACACGACCCGATGCTACACTACATCTACTTTGACAATATGCGGAAGCCGCAAGGACCCACAAGGATACACCCCTCAGGGGGGGGTCACCTTCTTTAGGTGGGTACGGGTGTCACAATCCCGAGGTACCCTCTCTAGTGATCTTTTCCTTTTCCCAAGGGGTTTACCATCTTTGGTAAACACGGGTGTCACGACCCCGAGGTACCCCAGTGATCCTTCTCGATTTTCGACCTTCCATCTTGTCATCCAATTTCTCCTTTTCTTCTTTTCCCGTCCAGACCACAGACCTATGAATGTTTGGCGCAGTATAGCCAAAGCTAGCTCTTGTACCATAAAACACCAAACTCAACTCAACCCAATCCACAAGGATACATCCAAAGCCTCTTTAATTCTATGCCGAGGAATGTGGCAGTGGTTATAGCCAACAATGGCGGCTACACTAACTACTAATTTTGTCATCATCTGCACGTCTCAAGAGGTTGTAATTTTAATCGTTTGATCTTTGTACAACATGTTATTTGCCAAATAAATTTCGCTGTGATATATCTGGTTCTTCTTGGTGCTGTATTTTGTGTGGCCGGCAGGGTAAATCTGTTATATATATATATAATTAGGTAAAATCTCGTCTCTATTTAATTAAAAAAAATAATTAATCAAAGTCATGATCTGGTTTAATGCGAGCCAATATCATAGACCCCTATTTACACCTCATGGACCCTCAAATTAATTTTTTCATTGATGTGGACCCCTTGCAAGTCGTCATAGACCCCTGGGGATCGATATAGACTACTTTTGGAATCACTGATTTAAAGGTTAATGCTTACAAATCGAAAAAGATGCTAAAATAATGCTTAAAATAATTTTTGAATTAGTAATAGTATTTATGTACAATAGCTCAGGAACAAAACATAACGAAATAAATATATATAATCTCCATCATGAAGCAAATACGTTCTAAAATCAAGAATATGGGACAAAATATATTTCTTATAATAACTCTATTCCTATGTAATTCAGTAATTCCTTAGACTTGATGTCATAATTTAACATGAAAGCAGAGTAGTATATTCAGGATCATTCGTAAATATCTAAATGTTCAACAAGACTATAATTTGCGATTGCTGTTATATCATATCAAAGGTCATTCTACTATGCACGCGCGTATTGTCAAACACATTAGCTCTAAAAGTAGTTATTGAGTCTCAATTGCTAGACAAATATATTAATATAATTGCTCATTATTACACATGTGAAAAGATAGCTATTTCATACTGTCATTATAACTATATTTCGTATTAAACATATGATTAACACGGAACAATAATTTCATGTTTTTTGAATAATTCATATATTTTATTATTTAATTATCATCATACAAGCATAAATCTCTCATTTCCAGAGTGATTTGTATCATCTCGTTAAGGTTACGATTAACTTAATAGAGAATATTGATTTCCATTTCAACAGGTTCCGATTCTACTTATTGATGAGCATCCTATAGGTAATGTAAACAAATCTAAGCAATCTATAAATTGGTTTATTAATATATGTTGAGGGTATAAGTAATCATGCAGTACACAGTTGAATTTTTCTTTCTGATGCAAAGAATTTCGTAGCCTGTGATTGCTGATTACTTCTTTCTAAGGCTTATAAATATTTATGCTTTAATGCGCTACAATTTTTCAATCTATTCCAAGTAGTTTTTTTATGTATATATATTTTTGTCACGCGAATAAAAAATGGTATTCAAATTTTTTGGGGTCACAGATGTTCATGAACATTTTTATGCATCACTTAAGAACTAAACTCTTAACACAGATTTTATTTTCAAAGATATTTCAAGATTTTCGTCCACCATAAAGCTTCTTTTTACGACTGTAAAAATTTAAATTCGATTATAGGTATCCTATTTAATTAATTTACGTTATCAGCCATCATTATTCCGTAATGCCGAGTGAGTGAATATTAACGTCGTTCTGTTCAGCTACTCGATGACTTTTGGCGACGGACCTCGTAATTTTGAACCATAATCAAGTGACGAGGATGACACCTGAACCGGCACCCTCCTCTCCGAACTAGCACACCACATCCACGGGAGGATGCTTGAGCTCTCGACAGATTTAACGTGCATTGCGCCCCTACACGGCGGGTCTTCAGCGGTACTAGGCTCGAA